TATCTTATTTTAGCAGGATTTTCAAAACTGAAAAATAAGTTTGTTTACATTTCTCTAAAAAACCTTAGTTATTCCAAATTTTTTGCACTTAGTCAGGTGGCTTGACAATTGTGCCTAGCATGAAGCAGCCTGTTGCCTCTGAGTGTTGACTTCAATGTTCACTTTTATATTTATATTTACATACACTCTATCTCTGATATTGAGCACTTTATCCCATACATATAGCACACCTTAAAACTATATTTCTTTTTTATATATATATAATATATAGTGTGTGTGTGTGTGTACAATGGATATTTTATATTTTGAAGTTGAAAGTAGTTAAAAATAAATACTTCCAATAAATATACAAAAAGGTACTGGGTTAAAAAAAAAAATCAGTTCCTTAGTATCTACAAATAAAAATCAAATTTGGATCTTTTAGTCTTTTTTAAACATACTCTGTATTTTATCTAATTGTAAAAATTAGTAAGTTTTCTTTTTTGCATAACTAATGAAAATTTTACAAGTATTCAATTAATGGTTAGTTTTTAACTCTTTTAAATTTATTTTTGTACTGTCTTCAACTTTTTCATAAATATTAAATGTATATCAATAATTAATAACATTTTATTCAGTATTTTTTATGCTGGCACAAAACCTTTTCTGTTTTATGAAATATCTAAAATGTAGTAGAGCTTTTGAATTTCAGATTTAGTATAATTTGATTATTAAAAGAACAACTTACTGATCTTAACATCTAGTTACCTCATACTACTTCAAAGTAGTTTCTTGCCTTTTGTTTATTGTCAAGCTCACAAAGAAATAGTGACAAAATGTTGCAACTACATTGAAGTAGCATCATGGGTGTAAATTGAATTGAATTCAACCTTTAGGCTTCCATGATAAAATCATTTTTTTTCAAATTTATGTTTTTTAGACTGTAAATAATTTTATAAATGTTTGTGTCATCATTAATGTAGTGCTCTATGAGTTGTTTAGACTAATATTCTAATCTTCTATGTTGATTTTTATCACCATGTTTTACCTGATACATTCTTCTACTTTGTGTTCATTCCTATTGCAATATTACCCCATCAGCTTTCTTAGTGGTATCAGCAAACTTTTGAAGCTATCATCAAGAAGAAATTTGTCAATCACCTCAACAGAAATAATCTGAATGACAAACAGTATGGGTTTTGTTCCTCTACATTCACTGCTGATGTCTTAACTGTCATTATATATAGAATCAGTGAAGCACTTGATGATATACTCTTTAGGAGAACAATCATCTTAGATATCTCAAAAGCTTTTGACAAGGTGTGGCATAGGTAGCTGTTGCACAAACATCTCAGCTATGGCATTTTTTGGAAAGTCTTTTGAATTATCAAGTTCTTCCTATCAGTTAGGGCCATGAAGGTTTTTGTTAATGACATCTGAAGCCTATGAGATCAATGCAGGTGTTCCCCAAAAATCTCTCATTGGTTCTACCATTTATTTTATTAACTTTGATTACTAGTAAATGTATATGCAGATGATATCACTGTTTATATCTAGATGACCAGAACCTGGCAGCTGATCTCTCCTCTGACATTGCTTGTAGTGTACAACTCACTAGGGAAAGAACTGGCTTATTTTATAACATTCACTACTTTCAAAACCAAACTAGTAACATTTCACCAACATATAGCAGACCATGAGTTTTTTCAGTCATGATTAATGGTTGTACTCTTAATGAGGCTCCTTGCCTCAAATGTCTGTTGGAAATCAAGCTCACACCAAACCTCAAGTGGAACTTGTATAGAGGATCTATCACTAAAGATGCTGGAAAAATGGTTTGTATCCTGTATAACTCCTGAAAGTACCTGGCTCCTCTTACCATGCTCTTTTTCCAAGAGACCAAAAATGGAATATTGTTGCCACATTTGGGCAGTAGCTATCCAATCCTCACTTTCCAGTCTTGACTAACTTCAAAAGCATTTGTATGACTTTGTGAGTGATGAATTGTTTTCCACCCTACAAACCCTTTCTCATAGATGAAACCTTGCTAGCCTCCTGCTACTCTCTTGCTGCTTTCATGGCAGATATTTGGACAAACTACAATCCTTGGTTTCACCAGTCTAGACCTTTACACCTAGGACCTGCCAGGCCACATACAGAGTTGACTCCTCATAATTTCTTTCATATTCCATTGGTGAGGAGGAAGTTTCATACAGGTAGTTTCTTCCCCAGAACTGTTGCATTATGGAATGGACACATGAGAGGTTGCTTCCTTGATCACTACAATCTTTTAAGTTGAGTTAAACAGTATCTATCCTACATATCCTCATAATATGCACTGCTTGCTCTCTTTCTGTATAGCCTTAAAACAACTTCATTTAGTAACCCTCTATTTTGTATTGAGTGAACAATAGTTTTAAACCAATTGCAACTGGTTTTAGAAAGTTGTTAATGTTCTAGATTTAGTTATCCAAGATTCTTGCAGACAATGTCAATACTTTAATTCTTTCAGTCCTAATGATGTGTCTAAGGAAATATATGTTAATAATAAAAACTGTTAATTTCTGTAAATATTCCTAATATTTGTTACATAATACCATTGGGATATTTGTCCCATTCGATTCTTATTTGAAGGCCTTATGAACACCTTAATATAAAATTGTAAAATAAATTGGATGGAAAGGTTTAATAGAATTTCAAAATTTAAAATGAAAACTAATTTGACTCTAAGTAAGAGTAAATTTTTAATTTCTCATACAAATTTTATTTAAAAAGTTGATGTCCAGGTTCAGAATTCTTGAGAGTACAAATCCTTTTTCTGCTGCATGACTTTAACATCTGAAGAAGGTTGAAAACTGCCTCAACCAAAACACTGATAAAACCAATAAAGAATATTGTCCTGTAGACAAAATATTTCAAGAGTTGTTTAGATGATTTATTTTTATGTTTACCATAGCATTTTAGCTGATCCATTCTCAAGTGTTCTTTATAATCTGCGTGTAAAGAGATGGGGTGGTCACTTTTTCTACAGAAATAGATGGTGAACAACAAAAGTAAAACAAAAAATGAGCTTGTTGATAGTTCAAATGACAAGTAGGAAATAATGATTTTCACAAAATCACAACATCTTAATAATCTCTGCAATTCGGACAAGTTTGATTATTGATACACATCAGAACTTTGTTTTATTTAATATAAGATATTTCTTTTCTATTGTTTTTATTATGGTATCTAACAATTGTATAGAAATGTCTACTTGTGCAGATGGAATATGTCCAAGAAAAAAATCTACATTAGCTGTTTAAGCTTCCCTCCCACACATTCTGCTATGTAAAATTAATATTTCTGCCATCATGTAGTGGATTAGAGATACTGAATTTCATTGTGGGTCACATCTTGTGCCAAATATTGCCTGACTTAATTCTATTAATTTATGTGTAAACACTGACTTATTTATGGAACAATAATTATACTCTCTCAGATGATGTTGGAGATGCTGAAAAATGATGATAACCATTTTCAAATTGATAAGTTGTGTGAAACATATTGTCTGAAGAATAAAAATGGCAAAAATACTGGATAAGCACTTATGTAAAATTAAACCTGTCTTTGGTTCAACATTAGGTTTTAACAAGTAAAATAAGTATTATTAATTGTAAAGGAAATAATCCTCTGAGTATCATTCTACGAACTTGTAAACTATACATTGGGAGATATAACTATGTAAGAATAAATGAAAACAATAGATATATATATATATTTTTAAATTCTGTAATTTGATCTTTTTTTTTTTTTTCTTGCTAATTCAGTTTTGTCACAAGAGATCAAGTGACAGTGCCCAGTCTTTCAGCACTATCTTCAGTATTCTTTATTTCAGTATTGTTGTCAGTTGGATAGTTACAATATTTCCAGGACTTTTTAAATTATTCTGAGTGCACCAAGAATGATGGGTACAGACATTGTCATCAACTTCTACAATTTTATTTTTTGCAGCTTTCTACTTTGTTTTCTCATGGAATGGTAACTTCTGCTGTAGTGACATCTATTCTTATTTTTGTTTTTCTGATGATTAGCACTGGTTTAGACTGGATGATCAATTTGAATTTTAAAGTCCTGAAGAATTTGACTTTTCACTTTGAAAAGCTACCAGTCTGTCTTTATTATACCATTAGTCTTAATGGTCAAATCCAAATATTTCTTTATTTTGGCACTAATAAGCAAACACTGAAAGAATATATCTGAATTTATAACTTAAAAAAAAATAACTTTGGTTATTATACATCAGAATAAATTAGACACTCTCCTATGAAATCAGCCAATTTTTTGATGTAAACTGTTAATGACTTATACATTTCATTTTTGTAAATATTATTAAATTACTTCATAATAACCTTATTTTTCCTCGATTACAAGGTACAGATTTGAAAATTGATAAATACATTTTCCTCTTCATGAAGACTGTATCTCTAAATGTGGCTTTGAATTAAGCAAAAAAATTTATTTTGTTTTATTTCTTTCTTTTTTTTCACTTAGATATTGTCTGTACTGTGGTGGTGGTAGTAGTGATTGTAAATAACTCGCTTTATTATCAGTAATGATTCTGTAAATGGAAAGACCTTGTTTTTAATACAGAAAATCCTCTTCTCCCTGTTTTTCTCATTTCAAACTGTTATGGCAAAACAATACTGTAATTGTATTGATTTGGTTTCAGAATAAAAGAAAGTCTGATTGTAATAATCTGAGTGTTTCTCTTATAAAAGCTTTATACATTTAGGCTGGTTTCTATTTTTTGTGAAGATTTTTTTTGTTGCAAATTTATGGCTCAAACATTTTCTGTCCAATCAAAATGGAAGCTGCCAGTAAAACTTTGCAATTCACCAGTATCCTTATTTATATGCTAACATAACTACCTAGCAAGATTAGAAGTTGATATAATATCTGTAAAAGCATTGTTCACTTAGAACCAAAATAGTGGATTAGTTTCTTCTATTACAATGATAATGCATACTCACATATCAACTTATGGCCATATCATGTTGAAATGCTGGTTCTTGTTTGATCACAGAAGTTAAGCAACATTGAACCTGGTCAGTACTTAGATGGATGACTGCTTGGGAATACCAGGTTCTGTAAGCTTGTATGTACAGGTGAAGTAATAGATAACAGCTCAGGATTTGAAATCAGAGAGCAGTTTCAATTCCAGTTGGGTTCATTATATTCACTTACATGCACCTACCTTTGGAAAAGTTGATGTCACTTTTCTGCAAACAATGTCGCCTCCCTGCACCTTTTCTATAAATATTTTGATGGTAATTATTCTCATAAGCTTTCCTCTTTGGTACTTCAAGTTTATGAATTTAAGTGCAGTACTAGATTGGCAGCTAGGTCTCATCATTTTACAGTTGAAATGGCTAGATGTAACTATAAATTCTATACTAAGAGTTTTTCCTCTAGCAATTTTCACTTGTGGAACTCTTCCAGATTCTTGCTTTCCATCCAGTCAACTTTGATATTCAAAAATTTAAATGCAATGTCAAGCATTATTGTCTGTTTTAATTCCTGATCTTTCATTGTTCTCTCTCAAGAGAAGCATACATGATTCCTTTTTTTTTTTCTTTTTTTTTTTTAATCTATTTTTTTCAATTTAATAAAATATAAGGACTGCATTATCAGATGTTTGAACCTTTATGGTAGGCTTCTTTAGTGTTATGAAACAACAATTGCTTATTTATATATGAAATAATGCCCTGAAAATTCTGGGATCCTTTCTATTAAAAGATTAGGCACTGTTAGGTACAATGAAAGCATAAAATGTAGGTAAAAAAAAAAAGTCATGATTGATTATATTAATTTAAATATAAAATCATGAATACTTTGTATATCATGAGTTGTGTTTATGTTACAACTGAGTAGATAATGTAAGATCTAATAAAAGCAATGATAAAGCATCAAATAAATAATAGTAAAATTAATTTTAATTGATATCCAAAGAATTAAATTTACTATCTCCAGTAAGCAAAATATTCTGTATTTTTTTTTTTTTACTCATTTTTCATCACAATGTAACTCTCTGTATTAAAAAATCTTCCAAAAATAAAATATACTTTTCTGAAACTTCGAGGAATATTAGTTGATTTAATGTATATTTAATCTGATTTGAAAAGAAATATTTAAATTTAAAGTAACACAGAAATGTATTTTTAAAACAAAACAGTAGCTGTGTTTTTAACCTACATAGCCATGTTTTACATAATTGATGAGGCAATGACAGGTGATGTCATAATGAGTGTTGTTCTACAGAAACTTTATCTGTAAAACATAATTTAAGAAAATGACATGAGTGCACATATATATATAATTTTTAAGTATTCAGTAATCTTAAAAATGTTGAAACATATTCTCTGTAATCTAATTTTAGGAATGTTGGCTTTAAATTTACTATAGTCATTGCTCTTATTTTCTGATAATGTCATGTATGGTCACCCATACTTCCAAAATTAGCACGTTTATGAACATAAAAAAAATTAAAATTTATTTTAAAAATATAAGAGCATTATTATTTTTTATTAAGTTTTTCAATTTTCACTTAGTAAATATAGTCTTCACTTAATGTAAATGACAAAAAAAGTTGAAAAAAAATTTTTTTTTTTTGCGTCATAAGATTGAACCATTGTAAGGCCAGGAAAAATTTTTTAAAATAGAATTTACTTTATATAAAATGTTGGTAATAAATTCATTTTGTGTTTATCATACAGGCTGTTTTTTTTTCTACTGATGTAAGGTGGGAACACGGACAAAATTTAGCCTTTTACAAGTTTATAAAAGTTGATGAACAATGTATGAGGTGCCTAATAAAATTTCATGCCATAAATAATTATAAGTGTTTCTAATAAAAGCAGATATTGTAAGCTGAAATTCACAGCACATTTATCATATAAATCTATACTGAATATTTAGTTAATATCGGTTTGATCAAACCCATTGTATTGTGATAGCATTGAATTGCATAATGAAATACATGAAGTATCAAGTTCAAGAAGTAAATATTTTTTTGATAAGGTAGTGTCATTTAAAAAAAAAAAAAAATGTATGCAATATTCCTTAGTAACATGGATGCTTGCTTCAACATGTTGGGCTTTTGCTAATGTAAGAACTTTACTTATTTCCATAAATTGATGACTAAAAATAAATTTTTCTTAATGCAATAAAAAAATGAAAAATATAATAGTTGAAATATAAATAAAAAAAAAAAAAAAAAAATTCATGCATTTATGGAATATAAGTTCATTGTTGTTATTATTTAGAAAAGGCTTTTCAACTATTTGGAAACTAATACTTGGTTCTATTTTCACATTGTTTATTTTTAAAATGCTAAATATATTAAAATGTTTGGATAAAAGCAATGAATAGATGACGATAAAATTTTTTCAAACGGACAATAAAAATGTCTATAAAACATCTTTTTTTTGTATTAATTTTCATATTAATTTTAAGTTTCAAATGCTAAAAGGAATTTTTTTTTTTTTTTTTTGATTTATTAATTCAATACCAAATTGAAGATGTGGTGCACATTTATACCAAATTGCATTCATACGTTATTGATTTACAATATTTGATGGCATTTGCATTAATATTACATGATAAAAAACTTACGTTAGGTACAAAGACCGGAGATTACGATATTTTGTTAAACATTTGCTTCCCAGATACTTCATTTTCACATGGGTGATGTTTTTTGAGCTTTTGGAGGTGGTGAAAAATATCATTTATATGCCATCAAATGGGATAATTATGAAAAACTAGATAAATACCATTTTTTTTTTTTTTTTTTTTTTTTTTTATATAAATCAACCCCCTATGTAAAGATGATCTATTTCCTTAAGACTCTGTCAAGAATTGATGTACATATATCATCATAATTGAAAGCAAAAAAACTCTTCCAAGATGTGTTTTTTCACTTCTTTAAGAACATTGCATAAAATTATGTATTATTCTTTACTTAGGAGTGGAGAAAATCTCGTTTAAATATACCATATAAATAATTAAATTATATTTTAAGAATTATATATATACTAGCAGTAGAGCCTGGCATTGCCCGGGGATATAACAGTAAGAGATAGATCAAGTATCGACCATCATAAAGATTGAAAAATAAAATTGACAAAGATTGTTTAAGGTTGACGGACATGCATGTCTTAATTATTTTTTTTTTTTTTTTTTTACGAATTGGTCAAGCCCAAATTCAAACAAAAACATTGTTTTCAATCATTATGAGTCTATCGATTGGTGAATAGAATTTTATTATAAACAATTGTTTTGTAAATGGAATTTTTAAAGCATTCTGAATGTATAAATAAAAGAAAAAAGTGTGCAAGACAAAAAAACTACTACCCCCCCAAAAAAAAAGTGGATGTTTGTTTTATCGGCTGAAAATGTAAGAAATCCGATCCCATATATAAAGGAACACACACACACACACAACACACACACACACACACACACACACACACACACACACACACACAACAACCTGGGTTTTTTAACCTAAGTCACTCCACGGAATCGCTAAAACATAGAGCATAGTCTGATGAAAAAAGACGCCAAAGTTTATGAAAACAAAATTTTATCGTCAAAATGCTTATGTTTTTTATGAAGAGGATAGACTAAATTTTTTTTTAATTATTTTTAAAAATTTTTCCATCTTTTAGAATATTCTAAATTTTGATTTAAAAAACCTTGTTTCTCTTTGTCGCAACAAGGGGTAGTAAATAACATAGATAATTTTTAGCACGTTTTTTTTTTTTTTGTATTTACACACATTAATTTGGAAAATCTTGCAACAATAAAAATAATTGTCAGATGTTAATGAAACTTTCAGAAACTATTCACAAATGATCGAAATTATTATAAATATGTTTTTTCTTTTTTTATTAAAGTCATGGCAGAAATATTTTTTTATATTTATTAACACCCCATAACTAATTTTATGAAAAATTCTAGAAATTGAGACCATCGGTTTTAGTGATTACAATAGTTAAAAGCACAAGGCTTTGAAGAATGCAAATCATGTTTTTTTTTTTTTTTTTTTTTTTTTTTGGCCAACGTACCTGAAAATCAGCTGTGAATTGTAACATACAAAACTCAATAAAACAAATATATTATTTAGTTTCAAATGCTTTTATTTGTTTTAATTTGTTTTTATGAATATGGACAATATTTTCTGAAAGCAAAAAATTTTTCAATGAAAATTGAATTTTTAATACAATTATTTCTTATTTCTTTAATTTTAAAAGATTTTTAAAAAAATTTTAAATTGAATTTTAAAAATATTTTAACATTAGTTAAAAAGCAACATCAACCTTTCAAAATGTCCGTGTGAGATTGTCATTGTCTAGCGCTTTGAAAATTGTATAATTTGGACCAATCAGATTAGCCATGGTAATTAAGAAATGTAATTTTTGTGTTTATAGTCGGACAGTAATTATCAAGTAC